TTTATGATAATTCTGTTACAATAAATCCTTTGTTAAAGACAAAAAAATCAGCTACATAATTTATGGGATTTTACTATTTATTAATACTGATTGATTCATAAAGATATTACCAAATAAATAAAACACGTAATTTTTAGTGACCGCGTACTAATTTACTCCAAAGTTTTAGTTGTATAAACTATCCACGTTTTTTCTATTCTAATTTAGTTGGATTATTCCAAAATTGGAGCAAAGATTTAACTCGACCGTCCGAGACTAGCAGGATTAAGCTCGCTTGGGATTTTGAATAACATATGTGTATTAATTAGCTTATGTTTTAAATATTAATGCATAGGTATTTGTTTCATTATTATAAAATTTTTACTGTACATATCTTGTGATGTGAAAAATATATTTTTGCTAAAGGCACATAATTTGTGCAAAAGCATGCATTCCTGAATCTTCTAATTATTAATGAAGAATTACTTTCAGAGCTTATTAACCGGAAACCGTAACTCTATACTTAATTTGAAATGTTATGCATATTCAATATCAAAGTTTCATATGAAACCCTCCACTCCAGCCGTTTATGAATATTTTGAGAAACGGAAATTATAATATCGCAAATTGATGACTTAGCTTCTATTTTATGAGCACGGTATAATTTACAATTTTTTATTATTATTGATTAGGTAGCCGTAGCTCCTTCCGTGTGATCCGTCGATAAAAATTACCTTCTTTACTTGAAATAGTAAAGGATTCTACTTATCATAAAATAATTTTAATATGAAAATAGTTACTAAAATTATCCCACGAATGGTAAGTGAGTTCACTTCTTTAGAATAGGAAAATAACAATTATTATGACATGATAACCTATTATAGATTCGGCCTCTATATCGATAATAATGAGTATTTCAAAAAGATTTTCCAAAAAATATTTAATGTACAGATTCCACTGAGTTAGAATTTTATTATATGTACGTTTAAGATTATTATATTATGTTTTAAGTATTATGAATTAGAAGTTATTTTAAAAACTGGCACTGAAAATATGAAAAAAATATATATATTTATAATCATGACTAGTCCGAGAGACTCTCGTGATGCAGTCGGTAGAGAGCCGTTACTTGCTTCATTAAAGCGAGGACTCTTCAACGCTTAGTATTTCGCTAAAACTGTTTTAAATGTGAAATACGTTAGTATTTTTGTAGCAGTGCAAAATAGTTATGATATTTAAAATAGAAAACTTATTTTAAGCTTTTAATATTATATACTATACATTATATGCTATAAACAACGCCCTCGTGTCGCCTCGACTCTAATTATACAAAGTGCCAAATTAAAAAAAAAACATTTAATACTAATTACTTTTCCGTTTTCTATTAAATCATTATTATTATTCAGTATTTCTAGAATTGTTTTCTTGATATTTTATTACTATAAAATCGTTGGTAAATTCATTAAAGCCAATTTTTTTTTAATTAAACTTTAATCCCACGGGAAAATTTGTACATTCGCATGTTATGAGTTGAGGATATTTAGGGACTGTTTAATATTAAAACTATTATTTCTGTTTCAGTCTTATAAATCATTATCAAGACATATTTTGATAAAACTTTACTGTATAGATAACAATCTGAATAATAAAACATATTTTGGTCACATTTTCATTCGCTAAGTGAAAGATATTGCTTGAACTTTAGGTTCTTCTTATATCTAAAATAGCGCAACCTTTTAAGATTTTAGGTCAAGTAGTCGCGAGCAAAGTTAGATAAACACTAGTATATCTGAGATTTTCCCGAAGTAAACAAAATTAAGGCTTTACACAAAAAGTCTTTTTTACTGTAGGTATGTTTCGAGAAGAAATTGAATAAAAATACATGTAAACGAAGTCGCGGCATAAATCTAATTTATGAAGCAGGTACTATTTACCATAATATAATTTACAATTCTTACATATTGTACGATATTTATGCTTATTCGCAATTTAATGGGATGCTCTTGTAGAGTTTTAACTTTTCCCCTCAGTGTTTTCGCCGCCATACTTTGGCAATAAAGAAGATACTGCAACAAGATGTTTTTATACGCTTTTCTGATTCATTTTACGATAAAAACAACTATGTGATAATTTAACGTAAAAAACCAATATTTATGTTGAAGCCCTATTCATGTCTTAATAAAAGATAAACAATTTAAATAATAAAATTAAAGTATAGTATTGATCAAGGCATACACTAACATTTAATATAAATTTTAAAATGTAAAATTGATGGTTTGAAAGTGCTTGTAAACTATTTTAGATTTCTTGTAGTCTATATATAAAGTATATTTCGAACACCCAAAAATCTGATAGAACAGGCGTATCGGTGATTATATGCATAGATCTCGTGTTTGCCACGACCTTCGGGTACATTGAAAATGAATCTGCCAAATAAACTTAATTAATTTTTTTAACATATTAATTATATTTATTTATTAAAAAAATTTACTAAATACGTAGTATGTAGTATAGTAAAATTATTAATCTAACTCTAAAACTATTAAAAAAATTTACGAGCTAAGACACAATCGTTGTACATGCGTCGAAGAAAGATTATATATATATATATATATATATATATATATATATATATATATATATATATTATATATATATATATATATATATATATTCTTTATATATAATCTAAAATATATATGTCTATAAAATAATTATATTCACAAAGAATCACTTCGTTCAAAAACAAAATCATGCTCCAAAATTTATTCACCGTCGCTGCCGCGCTCACGCGCTCTCCGCGCGCAAACTGCGCGTCACAAAGGTACAACTTCTGAATAACCATCAGTGCCCAACTTCTGGATAGCCCAATTTTTTGTATTACATTTCGTTTTCGAGATAATATTTTTTTACCGAAACCGGGCGAAAAACGACCGCATTTTTCATATTTTTTCGATTAAAAAAAGTTTGAGTTTAAAAAAAATCCAATTTGTAGCCTATATTGAGACGCTGCTTTGGGCATTCCATTCAGCTACGTAGTACCAAATCCCACGACACCAAGGCGCCGAAATCGGCGGTCGTAGCGACATAAACACATTCTGAAGAAATCTGTGGATTTTTCGAATTGCGAAGTGATAAAGTAAAATTCCTAAAAGTACATATACATGTCTAAATCTAAGCCTATAACAATACCAATTTTCTAAGTACATGAAAAACTTTTCAAATAAACCCCACTTATGGATACCTAATGATTGTAGTAATAGATATAATAATAGTATGTACTTGATCTGTTTTTGCTTATGAGACATGCTCAATCAATTATTAATGTTATAAATGAGAGTGTTTTTTGGTATATCCGTCCATCATGCAACCACGGAAAGTAATATTGGATACTTTTTATAATTATACTCCAAATGTTCCCTTTTTGGTACATATATTACTATACTAGTATTTACCTACATCGCTTATTAACCGACTTACTAAAAGGAGGATGTTCTCAATTCGTCGGAATCTTTTTTTTTATGTATAAAAATTATTCAGCTTCTAAGAGTTGCAATGAGCCTGAGTGACCGTTTTCTGGGCTCTAAATTGCGAGAAGCTTTTTTTCGACTCAAACTGGTAGTTTTAGAGATAAGAGCGCCCAAATAGCCAAAAAGCAAAGCTTCATTTTTATAAATTAATATTTCTATACGAATAATAGAACTAAGTGAGCCGTGTCTGTACATTGAATATTTATTGGAAAATCTTATATTAAATTTTAATAGTCATTATGATTGATACAGAGGCCAAATTAAAATATTTTACTTTCTGTTTGTCTGTCATTATACATCACAGTAAAAGGGCTACAAAGAGTTTTATAAACGTATGATGGATATTGGATAAATATCTGAGTCAACATTTAAAATATTATAGAATACAAAGATGCAAGAAAGAGTGTAGTCGATTGTCGAGTCGAAACTAAACTAATTCATACAGTAGTAGGTATTTCTATTCAAATAATTATATTAAGTAAAATAATACATAAGTATCTACTTAAAAATATATAAGAAAAGCTCGTTTGTCACACTACTGCATTTAATAACTATTTTTATTGTGAACACAATGGAGAGTATCAAAAGATACTGTAAGTAAAAATACATAGCTAATTTTAAATAATTTGTCTACTACTTTAATATTAGTGTATTATTCTGTGGGTAGACTGTAACAACTATATAATAACTTTTGAGACGTCTAAAACCTTGTCTCGCCCATGAACATAATTATTCGAAAAAATAAATATGCATTAAAATCCGTAAAGTTATAGTAAGTTATACTTTTAATTATATATCAGATATTCACGTAAATCTAAGAAAATATTATACATAGTTAATATTCCTAAGCATTCCTAAAAGCTTCTGAAGAGTGAAGATACATAGTTACTAAATCAGTCGATTTGTAACTCGAAGTGGACGGTCCACTCTAATGACTTCCACTTGTTTATAAGACCGAAAACATTTAGTCCAGGAAATTATAAGCTGTTAGACCCTGTTAAAGTTGGTAAATATCGGGCTTATGGCATTTAAATGATCATTTGCACTTTGAGTAGATAACAATACCGATTTTATGTATTTATCAATCGTTTGCCAACTCTAATTTAGTTACTTTAAGAATAACATATTATATTATGCAAAGTTTTTAACAGATTCCATAAAAAAGAAGTATGTATGTATATATGTATTAAGGCCCTTTTTAACGTCTGACTGCTGGGCACGGGCCTCTCTTCGGTACGAGTGGGATCAGGACATAGTCCACCACGCTGGCCAAGTGCGTCTTGGCGGACTTCACATGTCTTTTGAAAACTTAAGCGGGCCATGATGTTCTCCTGACCGATTCCGGCCACGGCGGCCAATCTCATTGAGACTAGCCAACTGCGCAGGAGATATTATAGTGCTCAAGTGTACGCGCAAACACAAGTGCACTCTCTATTCCTGTCACTCTCATACTCCGGTGGGACGACTGCTCGACACGACCAGTGAGAGTTAAGGCGCAGGACCGACGGCTTTACGTGCTCTCCGAGGCACGGGGGTGAAACACCGCCAACTTCCCAACTCCGGGCTATTACTGAGGCTTACTATACAGCAAGACTCAGTAACTAAACTTGGCCCGACCCGGGACTCGAACCCAGGACCTCCGGGTGTGCAGCCGTACATGCTAGCCACTACACCACCGAGGCAGTTAGAGGCGGGCCATATACTATCCATGTCGATGGAACCTCGGCGGGCCAGGTTAAATATTTTCGCGGGCCGGAGTTGGCTCGCGGGCCGTACTTTGCCCATCACTGCTATAGAGTATATTATATAAGCGTGTTATTTGTGTATGCAAGGTGTTAGATGTGCCAATTTAAACATATTTTTTATAAATATTTTTTCAATTACTAGGTTAGGTATAGCTTTAGTCGGTGTACTTTGATGTTCATTAAAATAATAATTGTGTTAATTATAATTTTTAGTTGAAGCTATAAACCTCAAAGGTTTATAGAGAGCCTTCGAAATTTTGAGTGTAAATCTTACCTGAGATTGAAATTAATATTTGATTGTGGTTTTTTTTTTAACCAAAACCTTTATTAACGTTCCTTCATTTTTGTCTTATAAAGAAAATTTGGATAGTGACGCTTAAATAAATTTTCTAAATGATTTACACAATTCTGGTTCATATTATTATAAATCAGTTTACGAGAGCTGCACTAAAATAATAAAGTGCATCGTATTTTGTAATGAAATTGTATGCATCGCGCGATATGCGTTGACAGCGTTGTAAAATAGCCATTTAACGTTAGTATTATGTGCAAAGTTGAAACGTTTAGTGAGGCTTTGATAAAACACGTGAATTTTATTTATTTAAAATTATAATATACTAGCATTGCCCGTGGCTCCGCCCGCGTTCAGATGACCAGTAACAAAATTCTTAGGTTTTACATATTAGTATACATTGCAGTTCTTATATGTTTTCTCAGAAATGAGATATTTTTCCGCAATAAAAAGTATCCTATATGTTGACCCGGATAACCAGCTACCATCATACCAAATTTCATCAAAATCCCTCCAGTGGTTTTTCCGTGATGCGGTAACAGACAGACAGACAGACAGACAGACAGACAGACAGACAGACAGACAGACAGACAAAAATTCTAAAAACTATAGATTCGGCCTCTGTATCGATAATAAAGTCTATTTCAATAAGATTTTCCAAAAAATATTCAATGTACAGATTCGGCTTAGTTACGATTTTACTATATGTATAGATTTTAATTTATATTTATCTAAAAATGAATAAGTACTTTTGTGTGATGTGAGATGAAATTTTTAGTGAATAATAGTACTTTGAACGCCCCCGATGCTTTATTAAACAATAATTAACTGGTAAACCTATATATTTTTAAATTAAAGTTTGTCGAAGTGTGAGTTTGTACAGGCCAATGTTCTAAGGCACAGTATAAATTTCGATACACTTTTCCTAATAGCCAGTTCCGTTAAATACGTTTATTTAACATAATTTAAAATAGAACAAAACATATTAGAATAATAAATTACATTTGTTGCTCAAGTAGAAAAAACCGGCGTCTTAAATGTTATGCTTACACACAGATCTAATTCTTTAAATTATCCATACACTTTATTCATTATATTATATTTAATCCTAAACATAGAATACTAGCGACTCGCCCACTATACAAAAATAAATGTATCCCACGGGAATCGTACATTTTTCCGGGTTCATATTATATAGCCTATGGCTTTCTCAATAGACGGGCTATTTAACGCATAAATATTATTTCAAATCGGATTAGTAGTTCCTGAGATGAGATATAATATTAGTATAGATGTATGGAAGTTCTTTACCTCCAGAATGAAAGAATCCGAAGAAGAATCTAAAATACAAATAATATATGTATTAAGTACAAATTCGCAAGACTTTGTTAGTATTGATATTGAAACCATAATATAAACTGTGAAGAAACTTGCTATATAGTTGCACTAAAAGCAAACCCATCTAGTTAAATAAGTCGGATCATATTTCGTCTAAAGCTTTTGAAATACATCTTTTACTTGCTGATGACCTGATTACTGTCCTATTTTAACCGAAATGAAATTAAAATAATATGATTTTTAAGCTATACTATACTTATCATTATTATACTGTTATAATTATAATGAGAGTACCTATGTTTGTCTATCTATAAAAGTAGCACTCATTTTGCATTCTGAAGATGGATGTAGTCTTTTAAGCTCTGAAAAATGAAAAAAAAACTATACTTCATCTCACATAAGATACTCGTACATCTTACGACAGTTTTGTTTAATTATCTGTTTTTTTTAGTTATAATTAGCTTATTTGTTAGTATTTGCACACATACATTTATTTTTCTGAAATTAAAGAAAGCTTTAGTTAAGTTAAAATAATTCTTATACATTTTATTTTCATTAAAAACTTAATAAGAGTTTTGTCTAAATCCAATCATTATTTTTAAAAATTAATTACTATATAGTGTGGTAAAATTTTGTAAATTTTTGCTAAATATACTGTCAAAATAAATGGCTGCCTCATATTTAAAATGCGCAAACAAAATTAATATAATCATATCTTTTGTGCAAGCTATAACTTGAGTTAAAGCTTATTTTGTCTGCGATAGATCAAGTAGAACTTCTCCTGTTTTCTCCCTTAGAAAATTGTCTTAATGAAAATGGATAAATAGTCTTCTGTGAGGCTGCTTAGCTAGCTGAGCAGCTAGCCTCATATAATATACACGGCATTTCAAAAAACATAACCTTATATTTGTTGGTAGAAATTTCTGTTAAAAAAATATAATATCCATACCTGTTTATATCAAATTATATTTGCATAAGCATGTTTTTGTGGGGGAAAATTAAATTAAAAGCGAAGAAGTCAAAGCATCTGTATCAAAACTTTTAATTTGTAATTAACATTTGGTTTCCAGCTTAATTAAGTTGTCAGTAATCGGGCTTTCAAATCTTTTTTGACGGATTTAGATAAAACAAATTAAATATTATTTGATTAACTGAATGAAGATTACGTCAAAAATACGTGGTAAATATATAATTGATAGAAATTTGATAAAAAAACATTATAAAAGTGGAAAATAACGTAAACCTCTGGCAAATTGATATATACCTATTATTATATTGTAACTGCCACGGTGGTGTAGTGGGTAGCATGTACGGCTGCACACCCGGAGATCCTGGGTTCGAGTCCCGGGTCGGGCCAAGTTTAGTTATTGAGTCTTCCTGTATAGTAAGTCTCAGTAACAGCCCGGAGTTGGGAAGTTGGCGGTGTTTCACCCCCGTGCCTCGGAGAGCACGTAAAGCCGTCGGTCCTGAGCCTTAACTCTCACCGGTCGTGACGAGTGGTCGTCCCACCGGAGTATGAGAGTGATAGGAATAGAGAGTGCACTTGTGTCTGCGCGTACACTTGAGCACTATAATATCTCCTGCGCAGTTGGCTAATCTCATTGAGATTGGCCGCCGTGGCCGGAATCGGCTAGGAGAGCAACATCATCATCATCATCATCATCATTATATTGAACTTGTCAATTTGTTTAATTTTATGCTCTTGTATAATTTTCAATAATTACTATTAATAGTAGCCTTCACTAAATTTTCGATAAAATTCATACGTGAAACCTTTCTATCTAAACCTATTAAACGTGATACATAAAAAGGCTGTGGCGATTAAAGCAAACTGTTTACATATATTCCAGTTTTGTGTTAAATTTGTTTTAATGTTATTAGGTTTCGTTTCGAAGCGCACAGTTAAAGTTACGGTTATTGTGTTGAAAATCGTATTCTGTATACAGATGTCCCCTGTAACAGCAATATCATTATTTTTTTGTTTATCTAAGTTAAACATTACCGAAATAATTTTATGAACTTACTTTATTACTGTAATAAATATTAGGAAAGCTCTTATGTTATGTTTTAATGGCACTGAATAGGAAACCTTATTTATAGGTACTTTCGGAAAAATAAAAAATATGTGATATATGTAAGTTATTGGTGGATCGATATTAAAGAATGGTCATACCTCGGTAACTTTGCCATCATATACCTTACTTTATAAGTTTTTATATTGGTATATTTGTCACTATTATTTAATTTTGTTTTATAATATCTTTAAATTCTTGTTTTATAATATTTTTAAAGAAAACTATTTTCTGAGATTAAAAACCTTAATATCATGTCAAATATAGTAAAACACAACCTACAGACTTATACACAGTTTGGTGTTAAAGTTTTCACACTATTTTCGATACATACACGATATCCTCAAAGGATTGTATGGCAGATCAATGATATATTGATGTCCAATAGTTGAATTTGCCAGATCGTGATCTAGCAAATTCAGGCGCGAAATGCCGCGAAAAGCCTGGCCAAATTACGGTTGGACGAATTTAACGATCAAACTTTGACATAGGCATTAATATGGACGCTTTCACACGACTCTTTGACTGTGCAGTGCCTTTTTGCCTATATTTCTGAACCATCATGAAACCGTGTACATGAAAACCTTTTATGTAAGAAAAGGTATTATAAGTTTTCCAAATGTAAAGGTCCGGTCTGGACATCAGGTGTACTTCGCTTTTTATTATGAGTGAGAGTATTTTACGATTGTATCATAAAGAAGCTAGTAAACTTCTGAAGACTTACCTATACTATTATTTCTAAATCATAAACGTAATATTTCAAATTTAATATTATATAGATCATGATACTATAATTTGTTGAAATATTCAATGATGTTTAAATTTAACTTCTATTTCAAACGTTTATTTTACGACAGCGAAACGTGGACGTGGCAGAAGATATACGAGAGCATGATAAATTCATTTGAAATATGATCTCTCAAACGACTGTGCGGTGTCAGCTTATCTGATAGAATTCACAATGAAGAGATTCATAAAATGGCAGTTTTAAGAAATCCCATTAATATTATAAATACGTCAGTTTGGATGGATGTTTGTTACTCAATCACACCAGAACGGCTGAATATATGTGGATGAAATTTGGCACAGAGATAGATTATATTCTGGAATATAATATAGGTTACTTTTTATTCCGGAAAAATGTACAGTTTCCGTGGGATAGGGTTCACTAGGGACGAACCCGAGTGTAGCGCGAGGGAGTAGCTAGTAAGCTATAAGAAACACTAGGTCTTTAAAAGTCTCGACTTTTTGATCAGATGAATAGTCTGAGGACCACTCAACGAGCTTGTATGAAGAGAATGATAAGAATAAAAGAATGGAAATGGATATGCAGAGATT